ATATCAGTGGCACAATCTTGGCTCACCCCACCTCTCATGCTCAAGCAATTCTCCTGCCTCAGCCTCCCGAGTAGCTGTGAGTACAGGTGCGTGCCACCACGCCCAGCTAAGTGTTTTTTTTTTTTTTTTTTTTTTAATAGAGATAGGGGTTTCACCATGTTGGCCAGGCTGGTCTCAAACTCCTGACTTCGAATGATCTACCCGTCTCAGCCTCCCAAAGTGCTGGGATTACAGGTGTGAGCCACCATGCCCGCCTGACTTTTTTTTTTTTTTTGAGAGGGAGTCTCATTCTGTCCAGCACAGGCTGGAGTGCAGTGGCATGATCTCAGCTCACTGCAACCTCTGTCTCCTGGATGCAAGCGCTTATCCCAGCCCAGTCTCCCAAGTAGCTGGGATTACAGATGCCTGCCACCACGCCTAGCTAATTTTTTGTAGTTTTAGTAGACGTGGGGTTTCACCATATTGGCTGGTCTTGCACTCCCAACCTCAGGCAATACACCTGCTTTGGCCTCCCAAAGTGCTGGGATTACAGGTGTGACCCACCGCACCTGGCCTGGGGTGATTTTTTAAAATAGTTTTCAGTGTTAAACACATGTGATTTTCCAAAAATTTTTTTGGTCTAAGATAATTTTACTAGATGGAGTTTTAGCTGTTTTCAGTTTTAAATGACACGGATTATTTCTACTAGTAATACTCATTACAAATGGATAATACTGATAGAATTACTTTCAGTATCAGAGAGGCCTTTTTATGTGGAGCAGAACATTTCATTCACAACTACATTTGTTCCTCAGTATACACAAGGGATCAGTTCCAGGACCACCAGTATACCAAAATCTGCCCATATTCAAGTCCCATAGTTGGCCCTGTGGAACCTGCTAATATGCAAAGTCAGCCCTCCTATACTGGGTTTCACGTTCTGAAAATACTATATTTTCAATCTGCGATTGGTTGAAAAAAATCCGTAAAAGTGGATTGGGGCTGGGAAAGGTGGCTCACGCCTATAATCCCAGTACTTTGGGAGGCTGAGATGGGTTGATCATGAGGTCAGAAGTTCAAGACCAGCCTGGCCAACATGGTGAAACCTCGTCTCTACTAAAAATACAAAAAATTAGCCAGATGTGGTGGCAGATGCCTGTAATCCCAGCTACTCGGGAGGCTGAGGGAGGAGAATTGCTTGAACCCAGGAGGCGGAGGTTGCAGTGAGTGGAGATCCTGTCATTATACTCCAGCCTGGGCAACAGAGCAAGACTCTGTCTCAAAAGAAGAAGAAGAAGAAGGAGAGGGAGAAGGAGAGGGAGAGGGAGAGGAAGGAGCAGGGGGAGGTGGAGGGGGAAGAGGGGAAGAGGAGGAGGAGGCCAGGCGCGGTGACTCATGCCTGTAATCCCAGCACTTTGGGAGGCCGAGGCTGGTGGATCACTTGGGGTCAGGAGCTTGAAACCAGCCTGGCCAACACGGTGAAACCCCGTCTCTACTAAAAATACAAAAAACTAGCCAAGCGTGGTGGTGGGCGCCTGTAATCCCAGCTACTTTGGAGGCTGAGGCAGGAGAATCGCTTGATCCAGGAGGCAGAGGTTGCAGTGAGCCAAGATTTCGCCACTGTACTCCAGCCTGGGCGACACAGCGAGACTCCATCTCAAAAAAAAAAAAAAAGAAAAAAAAAAAAAAACCATGTAAGTGGACCCGTGCAGTTCAAACCTGTGTTGTTCAAGAGTCAACTTATTGTTCAGTGCTGAATTTATTAAACTCGAATAGCTAATAAAACTTGAAATCAAACCTTTGGGTATTTAAACATTGCTTACACATTTAATTAAATATGCTTAAAATTTTAAAGTGCAATTAAAGTTTTAGGATGGCTCATTCTTATGAATACTTCACATATCTTAAAGAGCAGACAAAACATACAGAAACAATGGTTTACTGGGAAGCTGGTGAGGTTTAAGCTTCAGGGCCCTTCACTTGCACAGCCTCTTCCAAGGGTCTACATTCATACTTACATTTGCATTTTATTTTGCGTTCTTTTTCTTAAGGAAAGCCGCCCAAATTGTGTAAGCTTCCAGCCCCACAAAATCTAGGTCCTCATGTCCCATTCTTCTTTGAATCCTCGATCTCCTGACCTCATGATCTGCCTGCCTCGGCCTCCCAAGGTGCTGGGATTACAGGCGTGAGGTCACCACACCCAGCCTATTTATTTATTTATTTATTTATTTATTTATTTATTTATTTAATGAGATGGAGTCTTGTTGTGTTGCCCAGGCTGGTCGTGAACTCCTGGGCTCAAGCAATCCTCCCATCTCAGCCTCCCAAAGTGCTGGGATTACAGGTGTGAACCACTGTGCTCGGCTGGAGGCATCTTTATCTAATTCACACAAAGGCCTAGAAGAGTCCCCTTTTCTACATTCACAAAGATATCTTATTGGTTACTGGTGGTGGTGATGATGGTATCTTCAGGGGACACTGACCAAAAAACTGAGGTATTTAAAAGAAGCCCTTGCAGGCCTGATGCGGTTACTGATGCCTGTAATCCCAGCACTTTGGGAGGGTGAGCTGGGCGGATCCCTTGAGCCCAAAAGTTTGAGACTCACCTGGGCAACCCAGCCAAACCCCCTTTTTGCTAAATATACAAAAATTAGCCGGGCGTGGTGGTGTGCGCTTGTAGTCCCAGATACCTGAGAGGCTGAGGTGGGATGATTGCTTAAGCTTGGGAGTTCAGGACTGTAATGAGCCATGATAGGGCCACTGTACTCTAGCCTGGGTGACAGAGCAAGACCCTGTCTCAAAAAAAAAAAAAAAAAAAAAGAAGCAGCAGCCCTGCATGCAGTCAAAAGCTGAGTAAGACTCTAGCATCCGTCAGATGGGTTTATGAGGAGCTCCAGTGCCCTCCCAGGACTCTCTCCCTTGTTCCAATTTCAAGTGTAACCATTGCCAACTCCTTGCCCAGCCCTGGGAGCGCTGGCTGCCCTAGACTCCTTGCCTGCCCTCCTTCCCCACCAGTCCCATAGGTTACCTTCCACACATACCTCGACATGCCTTGGATTATAAATCAGGCCACAGGCTCAGGGGCAAGAAAAATCACATGGCTTTATTTTCATTAAATCCATAGCAGTGGGTCTCTGAGCTTTCTTCCCCCTGGACTGGCAGAAGATTCAGTCTTGGTGATTATTTTGATGCCCCTCACTTCCTTGGGGTGACCTAGGCCCTAAACAGAAATGGGGTTTAGTCTGTAGTTGTTTGTGGGCATAATATACTCATTGGCTAAGGTTGCACAGTTCCTAGGGGCTGGAAATTCTGCTGCATCTCTGACCCCAGGGACTTGGCTAGGCCAGGCGCCTTGTTGATTGATTTGTGTAATGCCCATGTTTTCCACTGAATGTAAGCCCTATGAGGGCAGAGGCTTTGCATTGTTCACCACTTTCTTTTTTCTTTCTTTCTTTCTTTTTTTTTTTTAGACGGAGTTTGCTCTTGTCACCCAGGCTGGAGTGTAACGGCGCGGTCTCTGCTCACTGCAACCTCCACCTCCTGGGCTCAAGAAATTCTCCTGCCTCACCGTGCCTGGTGGAATTACTGTTTTTTTTTTTTTTTTTTTTAATATCTGATAATGTGTTAGAAAAAGAGAGTCCTAACCGGGCGCAGTGGCTTACACCTGTAATCCCAGCACTTTGGGAGGCCAAGGCAGGCGGATCACCTGAAGTCAGGAGTTCGAGACCAGCCTGACCAATATGGAGAAACCCCATCTCTACTAAAAATACAAAATTAGCCAGGCGAGGTGGCGCATGCCTGTAATACCAGCTACTCGGGAGGCAGAGGCAGAATAATCGCTTGAACCCAGGAGGCAGAGGTTGCAGTGAGCCAAGATCGTGCCATTGCACTGCAGCCTGGGCAACAAGAGCGAAACTCTGTCTCAAAAAAAAAAAAAAAGAAAGAAAGAAAAAGAGAGTCCTTATCTTTTAGAGATACATACTGCTTATGTTCAAAATGATATGATCACTGGAATTTAACATAATACAGTGGGGGCCAGGTATGGTAGCTCACACCTGTAAGCTTAGTGCTTTGGGAGGTTGAGGTGGGAGGATCACTTGAGGCCAGGAGTTTGGGACCAGAATGAGTAATGCAGTAAGATGCTGTTTATACAAAAAAAAAAAAAAAAAAAAAAAAAAAAACGCTAGGTGAGGTGGTGAGTGCCTATAGTTCCAGCTATTTCAGAGGTTGAGGCGGGAAGATAGCTTGAGTCCAGGAGGTCAAGACTGCAGTGAGCTATTATCTTGCCACTGCACGCTAGCCTGGGTGGCAGAGTGAGACACCCCCCTTTTTTTTTTTTTTTTTTTTGAGACAGAGTCTTGCTTTGTCACCCAGGCTGGAATGTAATGGTGCAATCTTGGCTCACTGCAACTTCCACCTCCCAGGCTCAAGGGATCCTCCTGCCTCAGCCTCCCAAGTAGCTGGACTATAGACATGTATTACCACACCTGACTAATTTTTGTATTTTTTGTAGAGATGGCGTTTCACTATGTTGCTCAGGATGGCCTCAAACTCCTGGGTTCAAGCGATCCTCCTGCCTTAGCCTCCCAAAGTGCTGGGATTATAGACATGAGCCACTGCAGCCGGCCTGAGATCCCTTCTGTAAAAAAATACATAAATAAATAAAAGTTAAAATAATAAAAAATTTTAAAAGTTGTTTAAATAGGGCTGGGCGCGCTGGTTCATGCCTGTAATCCCAGCACTTTGTGAGGCTGGAACGGGCACATCATGAGGTCAGGAGATCGAGACCACAGTGAAACCCTGTCTCTACTAAAAATACAAAAAATTAGCTGGGCATGGTGGTGGGAGCCTGTAGTCCCAGCTACTCGGGAGGCTGAGGCAGGAGAATGGCGTGAACCCAGGAGGTGGAGCTTGCAGTGAGCTGAGATCGCGCCACTGCACTCCAGCCTGGGTGACAGCGAGACTGTCTCAAAAAAATAAAAAGTTGTTTAAATACATAAAATAATCAAATGGGAGTATAGATGAAATAAGTGTGGCCGTAAGTTCATAATTGCTGCAACTGGAGGAAGGTACTTGCGAGTTCATTCCATCATTCTCTCTCCTGTTTCTGTTTGACCGTTTCCATAATACAATGTTAAGAAAGGATTAAACATGTGTCACCTCCTCCTAGAAGCCCTCTCACATTCCTCAGTCTAAATTAGATCCCCCTTTCCGGGGCTTGCCAATTCACCTGACATGCTGACCTGCAGTTCTGTGGTTTGCCCCTCCCTCCTGGGGGCAGGGGCTGCACAGGCAGGAGAGGTGTGGCTTCCACTTAACGTCCAGATGCCCGCCTCCTCGGACTGGCACAGATCGCACCCTGCTGGGCAAAGGAGGAAGAGCCAGAGGATCCAGATGCCTTGGAGGACTTGGAACACCTGTAACAGGACAGGGAGTTCTGCTCAGGCACGTGGCCACAGAAAACTACTTGGGAAGCCTGCGGTGAGAACAACAGCTCCTGGAGAATCCCACCACTCTGGTGAAGTGAGCCCCGAGGATGAGGCTGCTCGCCTGGCCGATTTTCCTGGCCCACTGGGGAGGTGCCAGGGCTGAACCAGGTATAGTACTGGGAATGTCTGCTATGCTTTTGTTTTGTACTATGAACTCTGGGGCTGCTGGAAGCTGCTCGCAGCAAACTTGAAGGTGCTTCTAAAGACAGCAAGGCAGGAGCTAGGGTAGGGAGGCAGGGTGGGGAGAGCTAGTGGGCCTTGGCGAGTGCTGTTTGAGCCTGAAGATTTTAAATGGAGGTGACAGCTGGCCAGGGAGGGACACCGATGTTGCGAAGAGGTCTGGGTACGTGAGAGCTAGCTAATTAGTAGAGGTAGGAGGTGGCAGGAAAGATTCGTGGACTCATTCAACAAATGAGGTCCTTTTCTGTACCACACATTATTCTAGGAGCCAGGGATATATCAGAGAAAAAAACAAAGTCCCGGTCTTAATGAAGGTGGGAGAATGAGTTGAGCCCAGGAGGTCGAGGCTGCAGTGAGCCAGGATCACGCTACTGCACTCCAGCCGGGTTTTTTTTTTTTTTTTTTTTTTTTTTGTAGAGGCACGGTTTTGAACTCCTGGCACGGTTTTGAACTCCTGGCCTCCCAAAGCACTGGGATTACCGGTGTGAGCCAATGCACGTGGCCCATGAAATTTTTAATATTGCTTTTGAAATGAATTGTTGATTGTGATGAATTACTTGATTTTCATAGTTTTTGTTTTTCCTGCACTTTTAGAGTCAATACATTTTTTTTTTCCCCAAGTCTCAGATATTTCTGTGGACCTTGCAGAGCTATGAGACCTTGGGCCCTATGTCTGTTGTCCCTAGTGGGCATAAAGCCCTGGTGACCCCCTTTGGTGAAGGAGGAGGTGGGCCAGGACACCTTTTTGCTTGCCCAGGGATGTACTGTGCCCACCAGTCCTCCTCTCAGAGATGGTCATCTGGGGCAGACAGGCTCTATCTTCATCTTGTTTCCCTTCAGATGTCCTGCCTGCCCCTGCACTTTACCTGTGGACAGCAGCCAAGGACACGCTAGGGCTGGCTGGGTAGGACGTGGCCACTCCCCACCTTGTCCTTCTCTCATGGTGAGAGGGGGCCTTGTAGAACCCCCCCAGGAACCAAATGTGGAGTAACCACTGCTTCCCATTTACGGTGTTCTGTTCATCATCTCACATTTCTCATTTTAATTCTCACAAGGGCCCCAAGGGGTAGGGGGCGCTGTTATCTTGATTTTACGGAAGAGGAAACAGGCCCAGGGGAAGGTTCCGCTGTTCACACAGCTATGGGGTGGTGCAGCAGGATTCCCTCCCAGGTCTGTGGCCTCAGCTACTCACTGTACTCAATATCAAATTGATTTATCTTCTCAGTAATAAATGAATAATAATGATAGTGGAGATTGGTATACCTTTCTAGAAAACTGCAGTTACAGATGAATACTGTCTTGCTGTGAAAGGTCCAAGCAGTGCGAATGTAGAAAGCCTCTTAGCTTTAACGAGATCCCCAGTGAAGCATCTGGACAGTAACATTTGAGAAGTTCTGGTCTAAACGGTAAAGCATTAAAGCGCCCAGGCCCCCACACCTCCCCAGTCTCACTCCTGGCCCCAGGGGTAATTGCAGGTAATGGTGTGGTGTGTTGGGATTGTCCTGTATAAGCCCTTTCTCCTTCACTATCTTATCCGATGCTCACTGAGAGGCAGGCCAGATGTCAACATCCTGTGGCTCAGTGAGGCCTGGTGGCTTGCCCAGAGCCCCTAGGCAAACACATGGAAGAGCCTGGATTAGAAACCAGATCTCCCACCTCCCCATCCATGGTCCCGACATGCTAATTAGAGCTTAATTATTTTGATGTAGGGCCTGGAAGCTGGTGGATCCCATATTCTTATGGAAAACATGTATTATTACAGCCACCTTCTGGAGGGGGAGTTCCAAGTCAACAGGCATGACAACATTGTGTCTCAGCTTTGGGGTCAGAGAGGTCTGGGTTTGAGCCTTAGTTTGCTCATCTATGCAGTGGGCATAAGAATCCCCATCTCACAGACTGGCTGCCAGGATGAAATGAGATCAGTGTATGAAAGCCCGGGCACCTAGCCAACACAGTTTGAGTGCCTACAGTTCTAACTGGCCTCCCCACAGCCTTGTTCATTCCTTGAATGTGCATTTGCACGTCTTCCACATCCCAGACACCCTTCTAGGCACTGAGAACACAGAGATAAACAAGATGGGCTTGGTGCTGTCATGGAACTGACATTGTAAACAGGGAAGATGGACAATAAGCAAGCCAACAAGGTAAGTTCACATGTGAGAGTGCTCTGAGGAAAAGGAAGCTGGGGGAAGCAATAGCTAGTGACCAGACAGGCAGGGGAGGTGGCACTTGAGGTGGTCAGGGGAGCCTTCTGAGGAGTGACCTTGGGGCAGAGGCCTGAATGAGGAGGAGACAGCCGCATGATGATATGGGAAGATTGGGTGCTGCCATGGCGTAGTCAGGGAAGAGGCCCTGTGAGGAGAAGCAGCTTGGCTGAGGGTGGTGGGTTGGGCTGAGCTGACAAGGTCGCTGGGATCTGCACCCCCACAATGAGGAGGCTGGACCCCAAGGAGGTGGAGCTGCCCGCCTGGACCTCTAGCTCTCTCCACCATTCTGTCCACTAGCCTGGCCTCTCCTGGAGTCAGCACACGTACACACACAGACACACATGCACACACACATAAACACACATGCACGTACACACACCTTTCAGTAGGATGTGCCAGAGAGGCTGGAAAGTAGTTTCAGTTCTACACACTGGCTAGAAGACGACATCTGACACGTGAGATGAGGAGTTTCTGGAGTGTAGAAATGTTCCTGAATACTTTGGGGGCTGACGTCAAAGGGGCCAAACTGCTCAGTGTTTGTAGTTAACTGAGAAAGCCAGCTTGAGGTAGGGGAATAGCCTCTTTCTCTGTCTGCAGAGGAAGCGTGAAGACCATGTGCCTGAGAGAAAGGCAAAGGGTCTCCCACCACATCCATCCTGGCCAGCCTGGCTCTGGGCTTGGAAGCCGGTGAGAGCCAATCACAGTCTCAGCTTAGGGACTTGGGATGCCCACCAACTCTGCCCAACTCTGCCCACCAACTAACTGGTATGAGGCAGTTCATTCCTTTACTCTGGCTTGGGTTTTTGTCACTACAGGAATTATTTCTGTTCCTGTTTTTTCCTTTTTTTTTTTTCTGAGACAGAGTCTTGCCATGTCGCCCAGGCAGGAGTGCAGTGATGCAATCTCGGCTCGTTGCAACCTCTGCCTCCTGGGTTCAAGTGATTCTCCTGCCTCAGCCTCCCAAGTAGCTGTTGCTGGGATTACAGGAGTGCACCATAGTGCCCAGCTACTTTTTGGTTTTGTTGTTGTTGTTGTTTTCGAGACGGAGTCTTGCTCTGTCGCCAGGCTGGAGTGCAGTGGCTCAATCTCGGCTCACTGCAACCTCCGCCTCCTGGGTTCAAGTGATTCTCCTGCCTCAGCCTCCTGAGTAGCTAGGGCTACAGGCGTGTGGCACCACACCTAGCTAATTTTTGTGTTCGTAGTAGAGACAGGATTTCACCATGTTGGCCAGGATGGTCTTCATCTCTTGACTTTGTGATCCACGTGCCTTGGCCTCCCAAAGTGCTGGGATTGCAGGCATGAGCCACCATACCTGGCCTTACTTTTTGTATTTTTAGTAGAGATGGGGTTTCACCATATTAGCCAGGCTGGTCTCAAACTCCTGACCTCAAGTCATCCACCCACCTTGGCCACCCAAATTGCTGGGATTACAGGCATGAGCCACTCTGCCCAGCTGAATTTTATTTTCCGTACAGATGAAGTCTTGCTTTATTGCCCCTGCTAGTCTTGAACTCCTGGCCTCAAGCAACCTTCCTGCCTTAGCCTCCCAAAGTGCTGAGATTACAGGTGCGAGCCACCATGCCACCGTGCCTGGCAGGAATATATTAGTGATCACAATATGTGTGGAAAGGTTAAATTTTCCCCATTGTAAACAAAGACTCAGTTTGGATAAAAAATAAAAATGTGGGAATATGCTGTCAGCAAAAAGACCCATCTAAAATAGGCACTGGTTTTAACCCCTTTCGCCATCACATCTTTCTGGGAGGGATTGGAGCCCGGAGACCCCCATCATTTACCATGTGATCTTAGGCATGTTAACCTCCAGACCTTAGTTTCCTTATCTGTAAAGTAGGGATAATGTTCCCAGGGCTGTGCGGAGAACACTGTAACAATGCATGTGGGAGGGATAATGATTTGCTTCATCAGTCATTTACACTTTAGTATGAACATGTTTCAGATCCTTTCCTGAGACTCAGTTTAGATTAGGAGAGGTGGGGAAAAGCTCAAGAGCATCTGGGAGGGAAAGTCAAGGAGTGAGGGTCAGCGGCCAGCCTTTATCTGCAGGCCGTTGTCCACTAAATGTCCTGTGGCCTGAGTGGGGCCCTGGCTATCCCACCCTGAGATCAAAAGAAGTCCAGTCTCCAAGGCCCAGACACAGCTTCCTGGGGCCAGTGATGTTGACTTGTGGCTCTAAGTGACACAAGAAATGGAGGAGGAAGTGATTGCAACAGCAGAGGGTGAGGAAATCCTGGGCCTCACTCTTGTTTTAGTGAGAAACAGGATGAACAGAGGCCAGATCTTCTCAACTCTCTTTCAGTAAAGTCATTGAAACAACTTGTGCCGGCCAGGTGCGGTGGTTCATGCCTGTAATGCCAGCACTTTGGAAAGCTGAGGCGGGTGGATCACCTGAGGTTGGGAGTTCGAGATAGCCTGGCTAACATGGAGAAACCCTGTTTCTAGTAAAAATACAAATACAAAAAAAAAAAAAAAAAAATTAGCTGGGCCTGGGGGCACGTGTCTATAATCCCAGCTATTTGGGAGGCAGAGGCAGGAGAATCGCTTGAACCCAGGAGGCAGAGATTGCAGTGAGTTGAGATCACACCATTGCACTCCAGCTTGGGCAATAGAGGGAAACTCTGTCTCAGAAAAAAAAAAAAAAGAAAGAAAGAAAAAAAAAAGAAACTACTTGTGCCAGGCCCCATATGGGGTTCGCATGAGAAGTCTACTCCATCTCACCTGTTTCTCTGGATTCCTTTCTCTTTATTACACCGTGAAGTTTTTTGCCACTTCAGCCTCCTTTGGTTGGAAGCTGAGTCTAGCTTTTGGTCAATCACTTCAGCAAGCAGGACCACTCCCAGCTGCTTGAGCCACACCCCGGATCCAGAATCACCAGCAAGTATACCTACCGGAGGAGGTCAGCCCAATCTGAAGTGGCGTTCCTTTTTCCCTGGTCTAGTACTCTTACACTCACTTCCACATGTAGTCCCCAGTTTTTGCTGTTTTTTTGTTTTGTTTTGGAGACAGGGTCTTGCTCTGTCATCCAGGCTGGAGTGCAGTGGCATGATCATGGCTCACTACAGCCTCCACCTCCTGGGCTCAAGCGATCCTCTCACCTTAGCCTCCTGAGTAGCTGGGACCACAGGTACATGACCCCATACCAAACTAACTTTCTAAATTTTTTGTAGAGATGAGGTCTCCCTATGTAGCCCAGGCTGGTCTTGAACTCCTGGCCGCAAGGAATCCTCTTACCTTGGCCTCCCAAAGTACTGGGATTACAGGCATGAACCACTGCACCCAGGCTTTGCTGGTATTGCTTAGCAAGGTTTTCCAGCTCATTTGGTGTGTAAACCTTCTCCATCCAGGTCAGACTTTTTTCGTTCTCTCTCTTTCTTTCTTTCTTTCTTCCTTCCTTCCTTCCTTCCTTCCTTCCTTCCTTCCTTCCTTCCTTCCTTCCTTCCTTTCTTTCTTCCCTCCCTCCCTCCCTCCCTCCCTCCCTCCTTTCTTTCTTTCTTTCTTTCTTTCTTTCTTTCTTTCTTTCTTTCTTTCTTTCTTTCTTTCTTTCTTTCTTTCTTCCTTTCTTTCTTCCTTTCTTCCTTTCTTCCTTTCTTCCTTTCTTCCTTTCTTCCTTTCTTCCTTTCTTTCCTTTCTTTCCTTTCTTTCCTTTCTTTCCTTTCTTTCTTTCTTTCTTTCTTTCTTTCTTTCTTTCTTTCTTTCTTTCTTTCTTTCTTTCTTTCTTTCTTTTTTAAATTTTGGAAGAAATTCCAGGACAGGTCAGATTTTCATATGTAGTTATATTTCCCTGCAGCTCGAGAGGATCGAGCTCTAGTTAATGGGCTTAGAAAAGTGACATAGCCCAGATTACACAGCTCCTAAGTGGCTCAGAGCCTGAGCACTTAACCCATACCCTCTCCTGCCTTTGCTTTAAAACAAGCCCCCTCACTAGAATGCCTGAGCTCTAATGCTGTGGCTGCCCATCAAACGTGGGGAGAAGGACGGGGCCTTGCCAAAGGTCAGGGGTCAGGGATGGAGCTGAGCCTGTTCTCTGCTCTGTTCAATGTGTCCCTGGGCAGAGCCAGCCTGTGGGCCTTTCTCTGAACCCGGGGTGCTCAGAGAAGACTTCCGTTTGCCTGTGGAATGCCCCTGCCCCAGCCCAGGGCTGGCCTGGACTTCCTTGCTTCCAGGCTGGGAGAGAGACCAGCTTTGAAGGAGGATGTCTTTTCTCCTGCAGGGAAGTTCTGGCACGTCACTGACCTGCACCTTGACCCTCACTACAAGGTATCCAAATACCCCTTCCAGGTGTGCCCATCAGCTGGATTCCAGTCAGTGCCCAACGCAGGCCCCTGGGGTGACTACCTCTGTGATTCTCCCTGGGCCCTCATCAACTCCTCCATCTATGCCATGAAGGAGATTGAGCCGGAGCCAGACTTCATTCTCTGGACTGGGTGAGTACAGTCGAGGCGGCAGCTACCCTTTGCCGGGCATCTGCTATGTGCTACATACCAGATGGCCCTTTGCCCACATTATCTCCTTTAATCCTCACATCAGTCTCACGTGAGGCTGAGGAACCTAAAGCTCAAAGGAGTTTTGTAACTTGCCTGGGGATCCCTGAGTCCAAAGATTCCAAAGTCTGTGTCCTCAACCTCCATGTCTCCTGGCTGTGGCAGAACGCAGCTCTCACTCAGGCTTTGGTTGTGGTCCTGGCATGCCTGGGCACCTGGAGAGTGCCCGGGTTTTAAGCTACGGGTGGACACTGGAGCCCTTCCCCCTGGGGCTTAGGGACTCTAAGTCTGAGAGGTCCAAGTGCAGGGAGGGAAGAAGTTATGAGGGCTGAAGGTGGCCCAGCCTGTGGTCCTAGTGTCCTGGCCGGCTGCTGGCCACCCCTGGGCTGCCCATTGGCCCTGGAATGTTCTCACCAGTCAGAACTCTGCTCTACACAGTGACAGCTTGAGGGCCGATCCCACTCATCGCAGAGATCCAGTTTCTGCTTCCTGTCCAAGGTTGCTGCTCTAATTCCTTCAACTTTCCTGGGAACTTGCCTCCTTATCACTCAAGATCCCCCGATTCTGGCCGGGTGCGGTGGCTCATGCCTGTAATTCCAGCACTTTGGGAGGCTGAGGTGGGTGGATCACCTGAGGTCAGGAGTTTGAGACCATCCTGGCCAACATGGTGAAACCCCGACTCTACTAAAAATACAAAAATTAGCCTGGCGTGGCAGTGCATGCCTGTGGTCCCAGCTACTCGGGAGGCTGAGGCAGGAGAATCGCTTGAATTCTTGAGACGGAGGTTGCAGTGAGCCGAGATCACACCACTACATTCCAGCAAGACTCTGTCTCAAAAAAAAAAAAAAAAAAAAAAAAAAAAAAAAAAAAAAGAAGAAGAAAGAAAGAAAAGAAAGAAAAAAAGATACCCCAGTTCCCTCACTTGCTCCCTCACTTGGCAGGGCAACAAGTCATGCTCAGTTGTGGGGTAGACGCTAGGGATCTGAGATGATGGACACCCACACTTGGCTCCAAGGAGTTCACGGTCTTGTGGGCAATGCAGACAAACTCATTGACCTTACATCCCAGCAAGGAGAGAGGGTCACCTGGGGGGATGTGGGAGCTTCACAGAGCACATGATCCCATCTGGCAGGGTTAGGGGAAGGACATCCTGCAGGAACTGGTGGAGCAGGGGAGCTCTCGAGGAAGGCTGGAAGGAATTCTGACTTTGCGCTCCCTCTCCCAGCCTCAGTAGACGCTTCTATAAGGCAGGGTGAAACCCATGACGCCCCTAGCTGTGATGTGGTTTGTGGGTGTGACCAGGAAAGACCTTCAGATGAACCTGCCAGGCTGGACACATAAGACACATGACATCGTCTCAGAAGGAGCCTGGACGGCTCTGGCTTCCTTGGGCTCAGGAATCAATCTAAGAAGAGAGTGAGCTTTGGTCCATGACCTTGGGCCTGCTCCCTCGAGGGGCCTCGCTGGGGGAGCTTCTGATTTCTCTGAGAAGGGAGAGCATATGTAGCATTCTGACAGATGAGAGATGGGATCCCTCAGGAAATTCATGACCCTTTAACAGATGTACATTTTTTTTTTTTTTTTTTTTTTTTGAGATGGAGTTTCGCTCTTTTTGCCCAGGCTGGAGTGCAATGGCGCGATCTTGGCTCACCGCAATCTCTGCCTCCTGAGTCCAAGCGATTCTCCTGCCTCAGCCTCCCGAGTAGCTGGGATTACAGGCATGCGCCACTACGCCTGGCTAATTTTGTATTTTTAGTAGAGATGGGGTTTCACCATGTTGGCCAGGCTGGTCTCAAACTCCGGACCTCAGGTGATCTACCCGCCTCGGCCTCCCAAAGTGCTGGGATTGCAGGTGTGAGCCACCGTGCTTGGCCACAGATGCACATTTTTTTCCTGGGAAATCTCTGAGACCTTGAAGAGGTCTACAGCATCAGATAAGAAGATCTTTAGGACCCTTTACAATTCTTCAATTACAATGAAATTTGACTTCCTTTTTTTTTTTTTTTGAGATGGAGTCTCGCTCTGTCGCCCAGGCTGGAGTGCAGTGGTGCAATCTCGGCTCACTGCAAGCTCTGCCTCCTGGGTTCACGCCATTCTCCTGCCTCAGCCTCCTGAGTAGCTGGGACTACTGGCACCCGCCACCATGCCCAGCTAATTTTTTTGTATTTTTAGTAGAGACAGGGTTTCACTGTGTTAGCCAGGATGGTCTCAATCTCCTGACCTTGTGATCCACCCATCTTGGCCTCCCAAAGTGCTGGGATTACAGGTGTGAACCACCACGCCCGGCCGAAATTTGACTTCTAAGAGAGCTGCAGTCCCTTTGAGGATGGCCATTAGAAATTAGGTGTGTTTTGGCCGGGCGCGGTGGCTCAAGCCTGTAATCCCAGCACTTTGGGAGGCCGAGACGGGCGGATCACTAGGTCAGGAAATCGAGACCATCCTGGCGAACACGGTGAAACCCCGTCTCTACTAAAAAATACAAAAAACTAGCCGGGCGAGGCGGCGGGCGCCTGTAGTCCTAGCTACTCGGGAGGCTGAGGCAGGAGAATGGCGTAAACCCGGGGGGCGGAGCTTGCAGTGAGCTGAGATCCGGCCACTGCACTCTAGCCCGGGCGACAGAGCCAGACTCCGTCTCAAAAAAAAAAAAAAAAAAAAAAAGAAATTAGGTGTGTTTTGCTACTCAGGAGGCTGAGGCAGGAGAATCGCTTGAACCTGGGAGACGGAGGTTGCAGTGAGCCAAGATCCTGCCACTGCACTCCACCCTGGGCGACAGAGTGAGACTCCGTCTCAACAAAAAAAGCACCTAAAAAAATTAAAAATGCACCTGGTGTGTTTTTTATCAGACAGAATTAGATTATCCAATCTAGAAATAAAAAATGTGAAATTTTGTCCCTTTGACTTTGGGTTTCTGGCCTGTCCACAGGGAGTTTTCAGGGCAAAACAGCCCCTCTTGCTGCCTTCATGTGGGTATCAGAGACACTGATAGGAGGCAATGGCTGTGAGCATAGACTCTGGGGCCAGGCTGACTGGGTTCAAATCTTGGCCCCACCACTTTCTAGTAGTGTACACTTAGCCACAAATTTTTTCTCCCCTGTCTCTGGTGCTTGATTTAGGATAGGCACAGTTCTTAATTTTTCTGTGTCTTGGTTTCTTTATCTGTCAAACAATAAAATCTAACAATAGAATTTACATTGCAGTGTTATTGTGGGGAAAAAATTAGTGGCTATGGCAACAACACACAGAAAGTACCTGGCAGAAAGTCAGCCAGTGTGAGCTTCTAGCGGCAGTATCAATACTATTATGCTAATTAGTTTCACTGGGGGAGTACCTGGGCAGCAGAGGCCTCAGGATTTTGATTGTCTGGACATCTCCCCATCCCTACACCCCACTGCCACCGTTTTCCTCCCCTTGCCGAGCATTTCTAAGGTGGACCCAAGAATTTAGATTCATGGCATGGGGGGCACAATGGTCGCGGGGCAGAATCAGTACCTGCCCTGGAAAAGATCTGAACCCTAGACTCTGAAGCCAGCTTCAAACTCCTTTGAACTCTTTGGGAAAGGAACATAATTCGGAGATGGCTTCTCAACCCTGAGCTCTCTTGGGGTTTGCAGATGGGACTGGAACTCCAGAGCTTTCGTCTCTAAATAATAATATTAATTACAACCTAGCAGCTACTCTTATTGTACTATATTATGTATATAATTTTCCTCCTTGATGGATACCTAACAAGCACTCTGCAAGAACTGTATTATCCCAACATTACAGATGAGTTAATAGAGGCCAGAGAGGTTAAACAAACAGTCAAGGGACCCACAGCAGGAAAATGGTGAAGCCTAGCTCTCAGCTCTGTCCCATGTGACTCCACTCTAGCCTGGCCATTCCCCCTCAAGGGGACATCTGAGGCCCAGGTCCACAGGTTTTCCTCTCACTGCAGAGCTGTCCCTTCCTTTTCTTCTGCCCCTTCCTGAGTTGCCTGCCCCAAATTGGCTTGGTGGTGTTTCGTAGTGATGACATGCCTCACGTGCCCGATGAGAAACTGGAAGAGGCAGCTGTACTGGAAATTGTGGAATGCCTGACCCAGCTCATCAGAGAGGTCTTTCTAGGTAAGACTGTGCCATCGGTCCCTCCACAGTGTTCTCTGAACTCCAGGCACTGTCTGGCACAGTGGGACAATAGCAGCAGTGAGTGTCCTGGCTGACCTTCATCCATGGACAGTGATGGCTGTTGGCCAGGTCTTCATGGTGACCATTTCTCACCTTCCTAACAAGCCAGAAGGCAACATGCAAGCCCATGGGCCTGTGGATACACACAGAATCCTATCAAAGGAAATGCCCTGCATTTCACTATCTTCTGCTCCTGCCTATCACCAGACCCATGAACCCTTCTCCAGGTGTCTAGAGTTGCACACAGGTGTCATCCTTGTGTGAGTCTCACACACAGCCCATGTGTCCTGCTCTGGAGTTGGCGAAAATCACCCTCAAACTGTCCTGGCTGCCAGGGTCTCTGGGAAATGCTAATTTCCAGCCAAGATGCTGTTTCCTGTTGCTTCCAAGGACTTCAGAGCCTGGCAGAGCAGGCAGGGACTGGGGGTGAGTGAGGCAGCAGCCCTACAGGACAGTGTAGGGTGAATAGGGTCTGCGTGCCCCATCTAATGGCCCTTGCAAATGTTTTAAAGCAGTCTGCACCGAAAACAACATCCTGGAGGCTAAATCAGGCTGCCAGGCTGCCAACTGGGACCTGAGAAAGCAGCCCCCAGCCCCCAGCCCATCTTTTTTGGGTTCCAGTATATCTGCCCCCTCTACAGATCTTCATCATGCGCTCCCAGGACACAGATATGGAGTAATAATCAAAATAAATAACAGCACTAGCAGCAGTCATTCTGTGTCAAGTGTGAAGGGTCAGGCTGGCTCGAAGAATTTTCAAGCCTTAGCTCCTTCACTGTCACCATAAGCCTCGGGGGAGGTGCTGTGACCTCAGTTTTACTGATGAGGGGGGTGAGCCTTAGGGTTAAGCAAACTAGTGAAGGTCACATTTACTTAAGGGGTCCAAATCCTGGTGTGGGCACTGCCCTTACTGTCTGTTCCTGCTGCTTCCTTCCCTCAACACAAGTCAATCTAGGCAAAGAGATGCCTGGATGCTTCCAGTTTATCTAACCCAGCCCAACCCAAGTCAGGCTGCTTGGCTTCCTTTGTCTTCCAGCAGAGGTCACTAGTTAGGGTCAAACCAGGACATTCCCCCGACCCCAGCAGCAGGCACCATTATTCCCAATGTATAGTAAAGGAACCTATGGCTCCAAGCTAGTCATTTCCTAGGGAGGGACTCAAACTCAGATCCAACTGGGAGTACTTCTCCTTTGCTTCACATGGGACTTTTGGAACACAAGTCAAATATTGGGTAAGAAAATGCTTCCCTGACTGTTTTGTTTTTTGAGAGAAGGTCTTGCTGTCACCCAGCCTGAAGTACAGTGGCACGATCAAGGGTCACTGCTGCCTTCATCTCCCAGGCTCAAGCAATCCTTCCATCTCACTCTCTTACGTAGTTGGGATTAGAGGCACACGCCACCACTCCCTGCTAATTATTTTTATTTTCATTTTTATTTATTTATTTATTTATTTTTAAAGACTGAGTCTTGCTCTGTCACCCAGGCTAAAGTGCAGTGGTGTGATCTTGGCTCACTGCAACCAGAATCAGAGGTGATTCTCTTGCCTCAGCCTCCCAAGTAGCTGGACTACAGGCGTCCGCCACCACGGCCCGCTAATTTTTGTATTTTTAGTAGAGATGGTGTTTCACTATGTTGGCCAGGCTGGTCTCAAAGTCCTGACCTCAAGTGATCCGCATGCCTTGGCCTCCCAAAGTGCTGGGATTACAGGCGTAAGCCACTGCGCCCGGCCTGTTTTCAATTTTTGTAAAGATAGAGGTCTTGCTGTGTTGTGTAGGCTGGTCTTGAACTCCTGGGCTCAAGTAATTCTCTCCCTCAACCTCCCAAAGTGTAGGGATTACAGGCATGAGCCACCATGCCTGGCCTATTGACTATGATTTAACACACAAATGTAAATTATAAGATTTTGTAGTTTCTACCACACTTGCCCATTTATTGAATTTCCTAATATCCAAGGTGCCCTTGACTGAAAGATGCATCACTTTGTATAACTAAGAAAAAACAGCTACCAATTATAATCTGACACAGCACTTTCTCATGGCCACACCTCACTTTTAGAGATGGTACTATGAGAACAAATGGGAAGGGATGAAATGGAGGTGTTATCTAACTGACAATTCTAAAAACACAAGTCAAGCAGGACACTCCCATTTTATAGATAATTAAACCGAAGTACAGAGAGGTCGAGGAAGTGGCCTAAGAAGAGGAAGGGACTGAAACTCGAGATTCAGGCTTCCACATCATGTGTTCTTCCTGCTGTGTTCAGCTTTACCCACCAGAGTCGGCCGTGAACACTGGTCCCCGCTCGTCAGCACAGTCAAGTGGTTGACAACACAGGGATGCAAAGCAAACAAATCCAAGGCCCTGGGCCAGGTGCAGTGATCATATGCCTGTAAACCCAGCACTTTGAGAAGCTAAGGCTGGAGGATCGCTTGAGGTCAGGAGTTTGAGACTGGCCTGGGCAACATAGTAAGACCCTGCTTCTACAAAAAATAAAAAAAATTAGCCATGTATGGTGGTGTGTATCTATACTCTTAGCTACTTGGGAGGCTGAGGCAGGAGGATCACTTGAGCCCAGGAATTTGAGGTTACAATGAGCTATGATTGTGCCACTGTACTGCCGCCTGGGCGGCAAAGCAAGACCCTGTCATGTAAGGCCCAGTTCTAGCTCTGCTATGGTTTAGCTGGGTAATCTCATAAAGACTCAGTCTGCTGCCTGTGAAAAGGGAAAGTCATGGTACCTGTCCATAGGGTTGTTATGAGGATTAAATAAGGTAATTCATTCACTCATTTAGTCAATCAACTAGTAGTTATTGAGCATCGACTATGGTAGAGACACCATTCCAGGAGTAGAAGACGTGGCAATGAACAAGACACCAGGTCGCACCCCCGTGGAGCTTATGTTTGCGAGGAGCTGGGCACACAGAAGCAGTGAAAACACAGGAGTGAGTCCCTCCCTTCTCAAATGCCCTTGGGATTCAGGGATTTTTTTTTTTTTTTTTTTTTCTTAAATGGATTCTTCATGGCTGCTGGCATTTACTTTAGAGAGGTGAGGTTTTTCCAGGCAGTTACAGTGATGCATTTCACAACCTCCTACTTTGGCAGAGTTCTCAGCATTTCCAGGTCTTGTAGGCTGTACCAGGCAAAGGGTGTGTTAGAGATATTTCCCAACCGGAATGGGAGACTCCAGCCTCCCTCATTTGTTCCAGGTCACTCCCTGTGATAGACCAAGCTCATATAAGGGCCCGGCCTTGTTCTGAGTCCAAGAGTTGTTTTTGTTGAGTGTCAAGTATTTATTGAACACCGATTAGGTACCAGACACTGAGCATAAAATAAAAACAGAAATGAGGCTGTTCATGTGGAGGAAATGAGTCTAATGGGTTTCCCTATACCTCCAGGCCTCATTCACAGGCCCCTTCCTCAGGGAGGCCTCCCCAAACCCACTCCTACCCTCTGTTGTCACTCCCATAGCAAGTGGCCATTCCCTTTTTGTGACATCCCTTACACCTCTACTCAATACCTGTCAACCCTATCGAACGGCAGGACGTCTGGGGCTGGAAGCCTGGTTTCCAGCTCTGTGCATTGGCTCATAGTAGGTGCTCAATAAAACATTTGCTGACTGCATGGATGAGTGAAACTCCTAAGGCCTCCCAGAGTGAAGCAGACCCTTTCCCTAACAGTAAGATGGATCTGGAATCACCAGGAATTGGGAACACTAAATTACCAAGTGGCTGACAGTGATCGGAATCATTTAGACCTAGTTCTCCCCTTCTCATCATCTGCTGCTTTCCTTCTAACCAGGAAACTTCCTGCTGGGAATGGGCTTAGGGACTGCGATGAAAGCAGCCACTGCTCTTCCTCCCAAAGCCTCAGCAAAGTTCAGTCAGATTCTATCAAATGTGGGTTTCCTATCTGCGTCTTTTCCTCATCTGTGCTATCGCTCTTCCCCTTGAGCTCTGCTGGCCAGTGGCCAACAGAAAATGATTAACTCCCCCGAGTGCTTTTGCATATATATTTTGATATTTCACCCTTGCTTCCCAGATACTAAAGCCTATGCTGCTTTGGGAAATCATGACTTTCACCCCAAAAACCAGTTTCCAGCTGGAATTAACAAGATCGACAATCAGATAGCAGAACTATGGAAACCCTGGCTTAGTAACGAGTCCATTGCTCTCTTCAAAAAAGGTACCAGCACCATCTGCTCATATCAGGAGCACTTACTGTATGCCAGGGTCTGATCTTCGTCTTCACAACAACCCCTTGAAATAAGTACTGATTTTATCTCCAATTTACAGATAAGGAAGCCAGGGTCATACAACTTAGAAAAGGCAGTCTTGGGAGCAGAATCCAGAGCTAACTCCAAAGCCCTTGCTCTAAACCCCACGGCACTCATGATGCTCCTAAGTTCATACTTACTGAGCCTTTACTGTGTGCCAGGCGTTACCCTCAGCCTGGTCCTAGACACTTCACAACAGCCCTTGGAAGGAGTGGTTTCGCTTCCAGCAGGTGTGAACCTTGCCACCACTGACGTCATGGGCTGGATGATTCTGTCGCAGAGGACTGCCACGTGTGTTGCAGAATGTTGCAAACACCCACTAGAGTGATACCCTCAGGAACACCCCCAGTTGTGACAACCAGAAATGTCTCAGACATTGCCCAGTGTTCCCTGGGGCCAGAAGCACCTGGTTGAGAATGACTGGTCCAGAAACACAGCCAGCCCAAGGTGACTGTGACCCTACTCTTCCCTTTCCTCGGTCTCCTGCTGTTGGGACTCCCCAGTGGTCAAAGCCAACCAGAAGCCTGTGGCACAGAGGCCTGTTGATTTAATCCACGTAGATCAGCTCTTGGAAAAGACAGCTGAGCGGTGAAGGGTGGACAGTGGATCTGGATGGGCAAACACACATCACTGTTATTCTCACTATACAGTTAAGGAAACCGAAGTACAGAGAGGTGAAGTTACTCTCCCAAGTTGCACAGCGAATGAGTTCCAGAGCCAGGATTTCAATCCAGGCCTTCTGGCTCCAGAACCTCTGACCTTCCAGATTGAGGTCCCACCCATGGGAAAGATGGGAGGGGAAGATGCAAGGGAAAAAGAAAGTGGGACAGTGAAGTGGAAGGGGCAGAAGCCTGTCTGGCCAGAGGTGTGGGCCTCCTTCATATTGTCCCTGGCTGTGACAGGTGCCTTCTACTCTGAGAAGCTGCCAGGTCCTAGCGGGGCTGGGCAAATTGTGGTGCTCAACACCAATCTGTACTACCAGCAGTGAGCTGACAGCAGACATGGTGGACCCTGGCCAGCAGTTCCAGTGGCTGGAAGATGTGCTGACCAATGCCTCCAAAGCTGGGGACATGGTAAGAGGTCCTGCTTCTTTCTTTTCTCATCTAGGGTTATTTTCTGCACAAGTCTCCCGCTTGGCACAAACTCACCCACCCACCCAAAGATGCCCACATCCCAGAGGGTCCTTCACCAGCCTAGCACCAGCAGAGGGCTTCCTCCATCCTCACCGCAGCCCTGTGTGCTGGGACCCGGAGCCCACTGCAGATGCGGACCCTGAGGCTCATAAAGAGTGGTGACAGTCCCAAGTCATATAATACGTGATGACGCCCAGACTAGAAGACCAGTTTCCAGACTCCAAGTCCAGTGCTGTTTCTACTCCCACCACATGTGCAGCTGAAGCCAGGACTGTGTGCCAGACCTCTAGGGGATGCCCTGCCCTTGAGTGTGTCCAGCTAGTCTGCTGGCCTGACAGCTCCTCAAGAACTGGCTCAGTGTCCCATTTTCCCAAGTCCTCGCACTGACTAGCCCATCCCAAGAGGATCTCACAGCTGGTGCCCACGAGCACACACTATGTCAACATTGGGCACGTTGTTTAGGACATCATACAGATGATCTCAGGTAGCAGAACTATGGAAACCCTGGCTCAGTAACGAGTCCATCATTCTCAAAACCCCACCAGCTAGGTATTATTCCGGATGAGAAAACAGCAGCTCAGAGAGGTGACACACAGCTGGTGTCTAAACTACAGTCTGACTCCAAAACCCATAGAGTTAACCCTGTCCCCTGTTCTAACTCCTGCCATGGTGGCCAAGTGCCCAGGTGTTGTCAGCTGAGTGACTCAAGGAATGTAAGAAATGAATGCACATTACCGTGTAGCATATGAACACAACCATGCAAGAATGGTATCGTTGCAGTGTTCAAGCTCTCCAAGAGAAGAGTAGTCTTGGAAGGATTAGGAAGGCTTCATGGAGGAGGTGCTCTTTGAGTTAGGTTTTGAAGTATGGGGAGGATTTACAGAAGTGAAAAGGAGAAGGGTACTCCAGGTGGCAGGCATGGAGGTGGGAAGGTATGTGGTGCATTCATTGCAGGGCACAGGGAGAATGCCTGAGTCTGCCTGGGAGATGGAATCCGGGAGGCCTTCAGGGAGGAGATACATTTGGGCCCATCTACCTGTCTTTGGGGCAATTTGCAGGTTTTCAGAAGTAGAAATGAGGGTCTGGAGAGGGCATCTGTGAGCCTCTTCTGCGAACCCCTCCCTTGTAGGTGTACATTGTTGGCAACGTGCCCCCAGGGTTCTTTGAGAAGACACAAAACAAGGCATGGTCCCAGGAGGGCTTCAACGAAAAATACCTGAAGGTGGTCCGGAAGCATGGTCGCGTCATAGCAGGGCAGTTCTTCAGGCACCACCACACTGACAGCTTTCGGATGCTCTATGATGACGCAGGTATTCAACCTGGAGGGCAACTGCCAGCTCCGTCCCTCCTTCTCTCCCCAGACCCTCTCTGTCCTGCTGCTCTTTCCTGACAGGTGCCCCCATAAGCGCCATGTTCATCACACCTGGAGTCACCCCATGGAAAACCATGTTACCCGGAGTGATCAATGGGGCCAACAATCCAGCCATCCGGGTGTTCAAATATTACTGAGCCACACTGAGCCTGAAGGTCAAGAGTCCTGTGGAGGCCGGAGGAGGAGGGTGGCAGGGGCTTAAATGCATCACCACCTCCCCTAACGCTCAGCTTATCTACCCTCCCCTGACCACTGAGCCTCAGGAAGGTTGATCTCCTTCCACCCTTCTCCAGCTCAGGATCAGAACCCTGGAGGCACCTGCCACCAAGTCAGGGCAGTGCTTCCCCAAGTCTCCTTTTCCCCTGGATGACTGGCACAGCCTCATACCTGGTCTCCCTGCCTCTGGCCCTGCCCTGCTGTGGTCTATCTGCTACACAACAGAGAAGAAACTAATCTCCTATAGCACCACTTTCATCTTGTCTCTGTCCTGCTCAAAAACCTTCAATGGCTCCCCAGTGCCTTCAAGATAAAGTTGTGTCTCCTTGGCCTAGTACTCAAGGCTTTCCACAGTCTGACTTCAAGCCCATTGTCCACCTTTTCCATACACAGACAAGGCTCCAGCCCCTAATTTTTGAGCAATCCTTCACCTGGTAGGATGAGCTTGTGGTTGTTGAGATGAAAAATAGTATTCCTTTATTTATCCATCAAAATGCATTAAGTCTGTGCCATGGGCCAGGCCCTGTTCTAATCTCATGAGATACATAAATGTACAAAAAAAAGTCACCCCTCTCCTGGACCTGACATCTCACAAGAGAGGGACAATAAATATGTAGAATTAATTCTAGTACTGAGAGAAGGGCTAAGGCGAAAATCAAAACAGTGAGGTGACAGGGTGATGGCTATGGGAGGTGTGTACTGTGTTAAATAGGTGGGAAGGGGAAGTGTCCACATAAGGTGCCATTTGAGTTCTGAGTGTATTGAGGGAGTGAGCCATGTGGGTATCTCAGGGAGGTGGAGGGGAGAGCAAGTCGAAGGCCGGGGTGGGAATGTGCTTGGTGGGTTAGGGGAAGAGCACGGAGGCCAGGTGGCCACAGGGAGAGGCCCAAGGGGAGAGTGGGAGGGGAAGTCCGATCTTGCAGGCATCAATGAGGACTTTGGATTTGGAGGGTTTGGCGCAGAAGAATGAAATCCTGTGACTTAAAATTTTACGGAATCATCACGTCTGCTGTGCAGGGAACAGGCTATAGGGGAAGGTGGGGAAGGAGTGAGGCCATTTGGAGGGAAGGACAAACCCCGGATGACAGGATGGTGGCTTGGCCAGGGTGGAGGCAGTGAGGTGGTGAAAAGTGCCAGGTCCTGGATGAATTTTGGATGCAGAATTTGCTAGAGTGGATGTGGGCTGTGAGGGAAAGGGACGAATCCAGGAGGCTTCCAAGGCTTTTGGCCTGCGCAATGGATAGGCTGTGGCTGCCGGTTATTGAGAAGAGTGGCAGGGTGATCAGGCTTCGGGGGGTGAGTCAGAGGTCTGGTTTTGGACCTGCTAACTTTGGGAAGGCTGAATGGCATCAAGTGAAAGTGGTCAGGGAAGGGGCAAGTTGGAGCTTGAAGAGGTGGCGATAGAAATGTGATCTGGGAGTGGAGAGAGGATATTTAAAACCAACGACTGGATGAGCTAACCCAGGTCCTTGATTCTAATAAATGTAGATTAAGAAGAGGTCTGAGGGGTTTTAAGAGTGGCCCGTTGTCCACATGGGCACTCTGAGGGTCTGAGCAAGGGGAATGGCAGGCTGAGGGACCCCCACCATCACCCGCGAATGGGCCCTACATTGTCCTCAGGGAAGGAGTCAGCCCTGAGCTTGAATCCTGACTCCACCACTCATAAGCTTTTTGATCTTTTGACCTCTGTGCCTCACTTGCTTCACCTGTAAAATGGGAGTAACAGAACCTCACAGGGTTTGAGGAGGACTCCATGAAATAATGGAATGGAAACAGAGTGGCCATGCATACGGGCAGCTCGTCTTACCCCATCTGCAGTGGCCTAAAGCAGGTTCGTAAATGTACCTGGAACCTGTTGGACTGATGAACCCCGCAGAGCCTAGCCGTGAACATGCACCTGGGTCCTAGGAGTCTATAGTTCATGATCTCTCTCATGCTTAATGTCACTCTTTTTATGTTGCTTTTGTCTATTCATTATGTAAATATTTACTGAGCATCTTCTATGTGTACCCTAGCATGGTGGGACCTGGGTAAACAACCTGGGGGCCAATCCTGCTACCACTGAATACCTGTATGAATACCTGTATGAATACCTTTATGACTACCTGTATGACTACCTGTATGAATACCTGTATGAGTACCTGTATGAATACCTGTATGAATACCTGTATGAGTACCTGTATGTATGAATATCTGTATGACTACCTGTATGACTACCTGTATCAATACCTGTATGAGTACCTGTATGTATGAATATCTGTATGACTACCTGTATCAATACCTGTATGACTACCTGTATGAGTACCTGTATGAATACCTGTATGAGTAACTGTATGAATACCTGTATGAGTACCTGTATGACTACCTGTATGAGTACCTGTATGAGTACCTGTATGACTACCTGTATGAGTACCTGTATGAGTACCTGTATGACTACCTGTATGAATACCTGTATGAGTACCTGTATGAGTACCTGTATGAGTACCTGTATGAATACCTGTATGAGTACCTGTATGAGTACCTGTATGACTACCTGTATGAGTACCTGTATGACTACCTGTATGAGTACCTGTATGAGTACCTGTATGACTACCTGTATGACTACCTGTATGAGTACCTGTATGAATACCTGTATGAGTACCTGTATGAGTACCTGTATGAATACCTGTATGAGTACCTGTATGACTACCTGTATGACTACCTGTATGAGTACCTGTATGAGTACCTGTATGAATACCTGTATGACTACCTGTATGAATACCTGTATGTATGAATACCTGTATGAATACCTGTATGACCCTGGCCAAGTGAATTAACCTCTTTAGGCCTCAGTTTCCTCATTTGTGAAACCAGGGTAATAAGCGCAGTTACCTCATTCAATTCAGAGGATGTCTGCCAAGCACACTGGGTGCACAGCTAAGTGCTCAATAACTACTAGTGGTCATGATCACTACTCTAAAGAATGTGGGGGCAAATGCAAGGTGCAGGATGGGGATGGAAGCAGACAGCTGCTCACAGCCGGCCTACCCCAAACCCTTTCGCCAGGACATGGTGACCTACTTCGTGAACCTGAGCCAGGTGAATGCTCAGGGGATGCGGCGCTGGGAGCTCGAGTACCAGCTGACTAAAGCCTACTGGGTTCCCGACGCCAGTGCCCACTCTGTGCAGGCAGTGTTGGACCGCATCGCTGGCGACCAGGGCGCACTACAGCACTACTACGTCTATAACTCAGTCAGCTACTATGCTGGGGTCTGCCACGAGGCAGCACGTGTGTGCCATGCGCCAGGTGGACGCTGACGCCTACACCACCTGTCTGTATGCCTCTGGGGACCACACCCGCGCCCCAGCTCCCGCTGCTGCTGATGGCCCTGCTGCTGTGACCCGCCAGGCTCACCTTCTTCCTGGTAACGGGTAACGGGTAACGGTAACTGGTAACTGGTAACGGGTAACGGGGGTAGCGGGTAACGGGTAACGGGGGTAGCGCCCGGGATCACCCAGAACTGGGCTTTCCACCATTTCCTCCGCGCCTGAGGAGTGAACTGAAATAGGACAACCGAATCTGGAAGTGAAGCCCCAGGACCTGCAGTGATCCGTGATCGCGCCACTGCACTCCAGCCTGGGCGACAAAACCAGACTCTCTCCAAAAACAAACCAAAAACAGAAAACAAATGACGACCCAAGACCCCCCACAGCATATTTCTTTTGCGTTTTATATTTCATTCACAAAACAAAGCTCATGGTGCGTTTGATTCTTTGTTGTATTCCTTTTCTTTTCTTTTTTTTTTTTTGAGACGGAATCTCGCTCTGTCGCCCAGGCGGGAGTGCAGTGGCGACATCTCGGCTCACTGCAACCTCTGCCTCCCGGGTTCATGCGATTCTCCTGCCTCAGTCTCCTAGGTGGGATTACAGACGCGCGCCAGCACGCCCGACTAATTTGTATTTTTGGTAGAGATGGGGTTTCGCCATGTTTGCCAGGCTGGTCTCGAACTCCTGACCGCAGGTGATCCTCCCGCCTGAGCCTCCCAAAGTGTTGGGATCACAGGCTTGAGTAACTGCGCCCGGCCTCTATTCCTTTTCGTATGGAAATGAGGTTAACTCATTTGCAGGAACCTAACGCCCGCCCTCCCCCAACTCGGATCGCCGGCGTGAACCCAGCCGCCCCGTGCTCTCCGTGTATCCCCGGATCGAGGCGCACGCATTGTTGCAAAGTCCTGTACTTAGGGATGAGATGTGCCTTTGGTTTCGTTGTTTTGTTTTGCAACAACGCAGGTGTGAGGGATCGCAGCCCCAGTCCAGGCTCCAGTCTCCCCGCCCTCTCGCTTTCTTGGGCCTCCGGGCGCCTCAAACTTAAAACTAGGCCATTTGAAGTCTGCGGAGCGAAGGGCAGTCAGTCTTCAGGCCTAGCGGACTTGGCTAGGCTGGGTCGGGGGACCCCTGGGCTGGCGGTGGGAGCAGAGTACTGAGCGGCATTTAGGTCACGGGAGGGTTCGGGTAGGGGACCGGGGACACCGCGGGCCTCGCTCCTCCCCGGACGGGGCGGGACGGGGAAGTCCCGCCCAGCAGGTCCCCGCCCCGGGCCGCCCCGAGGGCTGCGCCCGCCTCCTTCCTGCTTCGGCAACCCCGGGCCCTGAGGGCAGGCCCCAACCGCAGAGGAGCAGGAGGGGGCAGAGGCTGGAGGGCCATGCCCTGGTCGTCCCGCGCCGCCCTCCTTCGGGACCTGGTCCTGTGCGTGCTGGGCACCGCCGCCTTCCTGCTCGACCTGGGCGCAGACCTGTGGGCCGCCGTCCAGTATGCGCTCGACGGCCGCTACCTGTGGGCGGCGCTGGTGCTGGCGCTGTTGGGCCTGGCCTCGGTGGCGCTGCAGCTCTTCAGCTGGCTCTGGCTGCGCGCTGACCCTGCCGGCCTGCATGGGTCACAGCCCCCGCGCCGCTGCCTGGCGCTGCTGCATCTCCTGCAGCTGGGTTACCTGTACAGGTGAGTGCTTCGCCCCGGGAGGGGAGGAGTGTTGGAGCTCAGCACCTGAGTCAGCTGGTCACCTGTACAGGTGACACGTCATATGCCGGGAAGGGGACTGGGAGAGGGAACCAAGTCCTGTGGGCGCCTGGCCTACAGGTGAGCGTGCAGCCCTTTATGGAAAGGGAATCCGGGTAGACTGCCTTCATCCTAGCCCTAGCTTTCCTGGCACAGGCGAAGAAACTGAGGCCCAGGGAAGAAAGGGAGGTGCATGGGCTTTGAAGTCAGACCTCTCAGGGATCCACTTCTGGCTTTGCCCTCTCTCACCTCACTTCTGCATTTCTCTGAGCCTCAGTTTCCTCCTCTATAGAAAGGCGGTAGTCACCCTGAGACAGGTGTGACGGGCAGGCCTATTGTGAGGAGTGAGCGAAAGAGTGAGAAAGTGCCTCGCACAGTGCCTGGCCTGTAATGGCAGGGGCTGCGGACTCAGTTCAGCACCCCATGTTTCAGCTCGGGCAGGGCCTTGGGAAGGCACTGACCTCTCAGTGGGGCTGTTTGGTTGCTGTTCCCGTTGGGATGGGGATAGTGCCTGCCTGTTTGGTGAAGATGAAGTGAAATGACAACTGTCCACTGCCCTGGCTCAGAGTGAGCACTCAGCAACCTCAGCTCG